AAAAAAAAAAAAAAAAAAAAAGGGTTAGATTTAATGTAACTATATATGCACATAGAAATAATTAAGATGGTACACAGAAGATATTCGCTCGGGATGTCTGGAAAATTTTACTAAGAAAATTGGTTATATTAAATTAATAAACAAAAGTTGAATGAGGACAGAGGAGTTTTAATAATGCAGTGCCAATATTAACTATAAGAAAAAAAATAAAAAAAAAGTAGCATTCTGATTTATTTATTTTTTCCCAATGATTATAACCAAAATGATGAATGTATATCTTATAATTTTCGTGATTTTATACCAAAAGAGGAGCGGAAGATAATTTCTTTGTAGCTTTAGGAGTATACGAAGGGAGTGTTAATTACCAATTATTACACTAAGCAAATATTAATTACCATGGGCTTTTGTTGACAAGATAATACACCCATTTCAATTTGTTGAGGTTAGATTCATCTGCATGCAGTTTTAGCCAATCTCTTAACGATGGATTGCTGTACCAAACCTGATTTGTGCAAACAAGAAAAACAAAGAGAAATAGCAAACCTTATGATGGATTACTTAAGATGAACTAATAAACTTTTCTTGGACATTGTGGATAAACATGGCTAGAAATAGAAAACCTGAAGGAGGAAAATTTCATCAATTATTTTTGCAGCTTTAACGAGCGAAGTCAGAGCTTCCTTGTCGCCATCACTGAGCCCCACCAGCTGTTGGGCAAAAGAGAAAAAATGTTAATAAAAAGCATTGTGAGTGCCACCAGTGATGTTACTTTTCATATGGGAAAAAAAAAAGAGAAATCGATTGAACTGTTATGAACTCAAAAGTTATAAGTGTCCTAAAATACAATGTCTCAACAAAGATAAAAGTAAGGATAGCCAAAAGCTAACACTGACAACTCTCTTGCTGCGTATATTTGAAATTTTAGACAAGAATTCATCTAAAAGATAAATTTACTTTACAAAATTTAAAACCTCTGCGTCAAGGGAAACACGAGCGTAACGGTTGAGCTGCTTTTGTAGACTCAATGCGCGCTTTTCGTCATTTTGTTTGTACCTGCAGATAAATAAGTTGTACATTCAAACCGTGCTCATGCCCACAAGGTACAAACAATAAATCTACATGAGAAAGTAATATCTTAGCAAGAAAATACGCCAAATAGAGCATTTTATGACAAACCTTTTAGACAAAATTTCAAAAAGCTGGCCGTATTGGCCATCGACATCATAAGGCACATATTCAGGATCTTCTTTTGCTAACAAGCTTTTGTAATCTTCCAAAGATACATATTTAACAGCTGAAACTTCAGATTCCTTCAAAGAACAAAGTACTCGAGAAATGTTGAAAGGTCTCCAAAACTAGAAGAACTATCATTATCATATAAATAAAAGCAGAAATACAAAGTTTTTTTAATGATAAATATAAATTTCCATACCTGAAGAGTGAAGGCCTCCAATGGAATCGGATCTATTGTAGTGACAAGATACACGTCGTTGTATTCATTGTTAATATATTTTCCATCATTTATGGTGCTACAGGAAAATCATAAATTTATCATAAATATCGGACAGAAGAAAAGAAAAAAAAAAAAAAAAAATAGTGCCATGTATGAATAAAAGCTCTGGCTAGTGAACAGATAAATAAATAAATAGAATAAGGTTTTTGGTTGAATTTCATATACATTAAGACCGAAGTCAGAAGTTTTACATGAAAACAGAAGAAATCATGCCAGTGAAATCACTCAGTTTTTACCTTTACGAACACAATTATAGTGAATATAAAAAACAATTAATAACAATACGAATATGTTATACAAGATCAGTTGCATCCAAAACTCACCAGTTATGAAAATCAAATGCCTAAAACTCAGCAATTTTCACTAGTGAGGACAGGCAATATAGTAAATACAGCCGGACAAAAAAAAAAAAAACACAAACAAACAAACAACAACAACAAATTCAGGACCAACCATTCTTGGAGAAAGACAAATAGCAACTCGAATGCATCCTTTGGAAGTGTAATGCCGAGTTCCTCCTGAAGCTCCCTTCTGTTAACATAAAAAACACTACCTTTTCAAAAAAAAGTAAAATCGGGCAGGGCGACAAATATAAAAAAGTAAAACAAGATTTAATGAAATATACACGCTTGCAAAGTGTATAATACGGCTAAAACATTTTTTCAACTAATCACAATCGAACAAAAAAAAAAAATGCACCTAGCCGTGACAAGCGATGGATCTCCCGCAGAAATATGACCGGCGCTAGAAATGTCCCAAAGCCCGGCCCACGAATCCTTGCAATCGGCCCGTTTCTGGAGAAGTAGCTGCTGAGTGCTCTCGGCAAATATCCACACGTGAACGGCCCGATGGTAATCGCCATCTCTGTGGACATCAGTCCTGCAAAAAAAGACACCAATGCAGAGTAAAAATCAAATCAAAGCAATTATCTACAGAACTAGCATAAAAGATGCTCCTTTGAACCTAAAAGTAAAAGCCAATGCACATTCTCATCAAAGCCACAGTCTTTACTTTGGGGGTCCAACACTCTTAACAAAGCATCAAACAACAAAAACAACACACACAAGCAATAATCGATAAGCCCACAAGAAAAAAAAGGGTTACTTGGAACAATTAATCAGTTCTAATTTCAAGAACAAGTACAAATGCAGAGCAAAAACCAAATCAAATCAAAGCAATTACCTACAGAACTAACATAAACGTTGCTCCTTTGAACATAAAACACAATTCACATTCCAAACAAAGCCACAGTCTTTACTTTGGGGGTCTAACACTCTAACAAAGCAGCAAACAACAAAAACAACACATACAAGCAAAAATGGATAAGCCCACAAGGAAAAAAGGTTACTTGGGACGATTAATCAGTTCCAATTGCAAGAACAAGTACAGATGGGTCAAACCCACCATTAATGGCCGCAACCCATATAATGAAAAGGACTCACCTTGTTTTAGAGATGCCGGTTTTTTCTCCATTCTTGGTGAGGACATCAAGGTGTTCTTCGCTCACTGATTGTGCGCTCATATTTTTTTTTTTTTTTTT